AAAAAAATGTTCCGCCGGTCAACATGTCCGTTAAAGTTTAAATCTTCCGTACAAAATTAGAAAAGTGCCGATCAGAGGTCTTCTTTGTTATTTATTGAGCTTTAAAATTGATAACGACTCTGTTCTCTGTATAATAATATTTAATAAACGGTGGCTGCCTCTCTTTTCCTCCCCCTCTTCTGACAGCCCAGCAGCAGCAGCAGGAGACGTGGGGAGAGGGAGGCGGGCTATTTCCTCGTGATCAGAAAATGATCATATAGGGCTTACACACGGAGCCGTTGGACCCCCAGAGCGTTGCGTATGCCGGTCTACCCACCTTGGGACCCCCCCACAGAGCGGAGCAAGGCAACGAAACTTAAAATAAGAAGCAGCATTTTACGGCGCGCTCATAGGCGCGCTATGCATGGGGCCGCCTTGAGGGGGTTTACCGACATGTCGTTTCAGTAAATTAAAGGGTGTTTCATGTTGTCGTTGCTGTGGGACTTCTTAACTTTTTAATAGCCTTAATTTTCGCTAAATTGATTTATCAACTTTTAATACTTTTTAAGAACCCCGCGGACACACATAATCAAAGCCCGTATCTCTGAGTGTATCTTTTGAAAAAGGCGCTGAGAAAACAAACAAAATGATGGCTGTGCCTAAGCACTTAATTTCTGTTTCAGCCAGGCAGGGAAAGCGCCTGTTAGACTGTTCCTAATCAGGCCGTTTAAATGCATGAAGCCTCTGCAGATTAAAGTTCCACTGCTGCGATGTGTTGAGACAAGAGAAAAGTCTGTTTCCTTCCTCTCCGCCTTTCTGCCCGTCTTTCACCTTCAGGGTATATTTATCTATCTAATCAGTTGCATACCACCCGTCTTATAGAGAAATATAGAAAAAACAATAAGAGGGTCAGGCATATCAAAGACATACAAGACCTGCTGAGTGAATGTGGAGCAAGTTTGAGCCCGTTCCCAAACGATGTTTGTGTGTGCCACTGAATGTGTGTGTTTGCACAGATTGTGTCTCAGTATATATTACTTCTGAAAACACACAGGTTTGTAACAAATAATGCGCGGGTTTTGAATATGTCTTGGCTCATGGCAGAACACTAGACAGCAAGACACCTTGCTGCACACAACAGACATAAAAGTGTTGCTTTTCATGATTCGACCCGGTAAAGAAACGGCAGGTCAACAGATGTTGGAGAAGATCTGAGGATGTTATTGAGTGGTTTGGAAGTGAACGGACCCTGTTGGTATTTTTTTATGTGACAAGGAATAAAAAGCAGACTGAAGAAGGTGGATTTGAGCCAACAACAACCACAGGTAGGCCCAGTGCGATGCAGCTGGCCACTGACACACACACAAAAAACACACTTTCTCTTTGAAGTGTAAAGCACAGGCTCAAAGATGCACATGCACACATGAGTTACTCTCAACACAACTTCCAATATATGCACGTTGTGGTACTATGGTTGCAGCTAGTACACTGCATGTCAAAACACTCACACACACTTGGTAACACAACAACATATTTGAGCACATGCATTCATGAGGAAAACACGCAAACTGGCACTCTCATATGACAAACAAACACATTGGCTTTGATGAGGATTAGTCAGGGCAACATCTGCAAGAGTCTCTCAACTCTCCTCACATCTGTGACCACCTGCTCTCTGCATGGAGTCTGTTTAGTCAGGGACATGGTCACGTACTGTAACTAATAATGTGTAGAAAATCAGCATATACGAGTCACTTTCATGCAATGTTTCAATGCTATCTAACTCAAGACAGCTTGTTATTAGGCATGAGCTATTGTTGATGATACTGTTGATGATCATCACACACTAAGTATGCTCACCCTCCCTCTGACAGAGTGAATACTGTTTGTATTCAGAATCACAGCTAAACGAAGCTCCCTTCTCTTATGGTGTAGCTTGGACTAAATAAAACATGAACATGGTCTCCAAGATGTCACCCAAAGGACTTTGAAGAGCCGTTATAAAGATCAAAGTAAGCGGCTTTGGTCATCGCCATCTTGGCAGTAATGCCACCCTCTAACTCCCAGCTTTCCAAAATATGGGCAATGTTGGATGACTATGAGGCGGGCCAGAGTGGCGCAGCTGTTAGTATGAATAGTATATAAATTCACCACCCGTACAAGCTGTAGAGTTTACTGCTTTCTAAGGTAGAAAAGGGTTTAACTGATCTTGGATAAAATGTAACCAAGTTGTTTGTAAGACAATGTTAAATGTCACCTAGTAAATGTTTGCATGACTGGCACAGAATGGCATTGCACGTAGTCAGTACCGTTGGCAGCTGGTTCAGTCAGTATCAGTGCAGACTTGCTGTTTTACAGCCCACACCCAATCCCCGCTTATTTATTTGGAATGATCCAGTTCCTCTACACTAAAACGGAGTTGATGGGGATAGGGAGATGGCGTAGTGGCCGGATTGCAATTGGGCCACAGTCATAGCGAGGGGATCAAAGACGAGCTAACCCGTGGTAAGGTAATTACCCTTGACCACCTCCCTCTCTCCAAGCCCTGCCTCTCGCTGAATGCATCGATGAGCTCAACAATGACACTTATGCAGGTAATTACTTCCCCTCGTCTCTACCTGTCTCTCTTTCCCTTTCTTCATCCCCAACTTCCTCCCTGTCTACTCTCTATCACTTTTTCTCTTCCTCTCCCCTCTCAATTACCCCTTTCTTCCCTCTAATTCTCTCACAGGCCCACCTATTTCTCTCATCTCTTGGTCTATCACCCCCTCCCTCCCTGTCCCAGATGAAGTGATTAATCTTGTCCTTTCCGCTACCTGTAGACCCTCTGACCTTATTTAAAGGTAGAGCCCCCCCCCTCAACAATGGATGTGTTGTTCTGATAGAGAGAGAGAGAGAGAGAGAGAGAGAGGGACCCTGCAGACTAGGGGAAGTTCACCTCAACCCTCAGGAGGGAGAATAGGCTTGTGTCATGGTTCAGATATGTGGAAATACTTCCCTGCGACAAATGTACACATGCATGTAAGAACATACACCGAAAAATATAACATATACATATAATGCCATTCTAATCTAAATGGTTATTATCCTGTGCACAAACACAGTCCATATACGTACATGTGTGATGTGTAGTGCGTTGCTTGGATGGGTCTGTTTGGATCTAGAGAAAATGATACCGTTTTGAATAATGGTAGGGAAGCAGCAGAGACTGGTGAAGCAAAAAATATGATTAAAATCAAAATGAATACAACGAGACAAAAAAGACACCTTTATGCAATGCCCTG